GGACCAAGGTGGATACGGAGCTGGAAATTTTCCAAGCACTGCGGAGGAGGGGAATTGCGTATGAGCTCGGGGGCTACATGTCCTTTTCTGCACATGAGACGCTGGTGTGTTTCTTGATCCGTGAGCTTCAGAAGGAGCCTCTGCCAGGGTTTTCGCGTGTCAACTTGACACAAGTCCAGGCGGCGGATCGAGAGTGTCACGTGCAGCTGGCGCGGCTGACTAGGGCGGGCTTCTCCACCCCTGGTCCGGGCAAGCTGCCGCTGGATGACCATCTTGCAACAGTGCTACAGATGGCATCGATTCATTGGATCCTCATGCCGACGAGGTCGGCTGGCAAAGGTGCTCAGCCGACGGCTGAGGATCATGAGTCGACTGGGGAGGAGACCGGTCCTAGGAAGCGAAAGAAGAAGAAAAAGAAGCCGGTCAAAGAGACCGATGTGCCTCCGCCTCCACCTCCTCCTGAGGGACAGCCGGAGCGCAAGAAGTTGCGGGGTGTCATGCCGCAAGGGCTGCGTGGAGGGGTTCCGAGGACCAAAGCCAATGAGCCGATCTGCTACGGCTACAACTTGGGCACCTGTGCCCACGTTGGGGCCAAGTGCGACAAGGGTCTTCATGTGTGCTGTGGCCCCGGCTGTGAGTCGAAGGACCATACTTTCCTGCAATGCCCGAAAGTCAAGAAGTCGTGACTAGGATCGTTGCGACTCCCCCACCAAGGTGGGGTCCTGCCATGCCAGTTTGAAGATGTTGGGCACTCGCCCACCGATTTTCCTTATGGGATTGAGCAACAAGCGCGGATGATGTCTGATCATCCCTCTTCGCAAGATGTCTTGAAGCTGTTTGAATCATTGCCGGGGGAGACTCCTAGCAGGGGCTCCGCGGGCGACGATACAAAGTCCTGGACCACCGGGGCCTATGCTCAGGGCAATTTTCGCGGACTTCGGACCAACACGAATCTTTTCCCTTCCTGTACCGAGGTCATTTGTCGTTTTCTTCGTCGGCGAGCTCCCAAACGGACCTTCGCTGCGCTTGCAATCTTTCAGAATCTTCAGTCGAAGCGACATAGAGATGTCAACAATGATGGACGGTTTTGCAATATTCTGGTGCCGCTGACACTTTTTCAAGAAGGCGGTGTCTGGATTGAGTCTCCTGAGGGCAGCGTGCCGGCACCTGACAACCCGTCACTCAAAGGTGTGGTTATGTCACTGCAGCCCGGGCCATGTTTTCTGGATGCTCAACTTGCACATGCAACGATGCCTTGGAAGGGCAAACGTATCCTTTTGGTGGGCTTCACACCGAATGGTGCTTGGGAGGACTCAGCCCGAGCCAAGGTACTCCTGGACTTAGGTTTTGTACCACCTTCAGGATTTCGTTTGCCCGCGACCGTACAGGATACACCTTCGGAACCCACTGTCCCTCGCCCTGGCACCCCGGACGGAGGGCCCATCCGGTCGGCGATAGACCCTCCCTTGCCTAAGCCTTCGAAGGTGCCGTACCTCTTGGAGCTTTTCTGTGGGTCTGCAGGGGTTTCGTCGGCGTTTATTCGGCTTGGGGGTGAGGCTTTGGGTATAGATCGATGCTTGCTGCCCAGGTCAATCAAGGCGCCGGGTGTTCGTTTAGACCTCACCCGCTCAAGTGACCAGGCTTTGATTCTTGATGAAGTTCGCAGGGCCGATATTATCTGGCTGGCACCCCCGTGCGGGACATGCTCGAGGGCCCGCGAGATACCACTGAGAGCACCGTCAGGCGCCTCAGACAAGCTCAAGGCTGAACCTTTGCGCAGCGCTGCGTGTCCCGAAGGCTTCCCAAACCTTTCAGGTGTGGCGGGACGCCGGGTGCGCCTGGCGAACCAGCTTTACATGTTTACAGCCCAGGTTATCGAGCTGTGTGTGCGTCATGATAAAGTCTGCGTGGTCGAGAACCCGAGCCGGTCATGGTTCTGGTCCACTCGCTGGATAAAACCGTGGGTAGCCCGTTTGCACTCTCTGCATTCCCATGCCTGCATGTATGGTGCTGACCTGAAAAAGGCTACCAGGCTGCTCTCCACGCATCAGCTTCCCTCCATGCAGGCCACATGCGACGGGGCTCACGCCCACAAATCGTGGGGTCTTACCAAGAGCCGGGGGCAGTGGGACTTTCGCACCACGGGCACTGCTGAGTATCCCAGTGCCTTCTGTAAGGCCGCTGCTTCGGACTTCATGGAGATTTGTGCTTCGCGGAACGCCTTTCCTGCCCAAGAGGTCATGTCGGAGGCTTTTGGAGTGGCGGCCGCTGTCGGGCGACAGCCTCGGGGACAATCGTTCCAGGCCGGGCCGTCGGAGTTTGGTTCTACGTGTACCATGCATGTGCCGGTCAGTGTGTCTGTACCCGACGTGATTGACGGCCAAGCACCGTGGCCACTGCAAGGCCTGCCTTTGGGGTCTCGACTCCTCAACTCTCGGACAGTGACAGGTGAAGGGGGGGAGGAAGGTGTCCGTGAGGTTAAGTTTGGAATCTTTCGCACACCAGATGCTTTCTTGCGTGAAGCTTTAAAGATGCGCCATCCTTTCGATGAACCTTCGACTTCAGACATGGGCAATATTCGTGCTATGCAGGTCGTCTTGGAGAGGGGTGTGGAAGGCACTAAGACCCTTCGGCAGAAAACCCTTGACTATTATCGGCGGAGAGAGATTGAGCTTCGGTCCGATGAAGAGGCTCTCAAGGCGACTATGGATCCACAGGTGCGGGAGGTGATGACCGGAAAGAACCTTCTGTTGTTCCAGGAGATGGCTCGCGATGCGGGGGTGGAGGACCCTTATCTCTTTGAGGACCTGAATCGGGGGTTCCGTTTGATAGGTTCGCTGCCTCCGTTTGGACAGTTCCCAAAGAAGCTCAAGCCTGCCGTCTTGGACGAATCGCAGCTGAAAGCCACGGCTCGATGGTCCAAACACCTTGTCGAGGCATCGTGCAAGAAAGCGTCTCCAGACTTGGAGGTTGCCAGAGCAGTGTGGGCCGAGACGCTCGAGCAAGTCGAGAAATCTTGGATGAAAGGGCCGTTTTCTTGGGCCGAGATCGAGAAAAAATATAATGGCTGCTGGATTCCTTCGAAGCGCTTTGGCGTGGCCCAGTCAGACAAGGTGAGGAGTGTAGATGACCTCTCAGAGTTTCTCATCAACTCTGCCGTGACGGAGACAGAGAAGATTACCTTGGAAGGCATTGATCATATTGTTTCCCTGGCGCGGTTCTTCCTAGGGGCCACGACGGCTGGGGTTGCAACGTTTCGCCTTCCTGCTTCCGATGGGCAATGGGTAACTGGGAGGTTGCACTCAGACTGGCGTGGAGGCAAAGCTCGTCTTTTGCGGGGCAGGGCACTGGACTTGAAAGCCGCCTACAAGCAGCTCGCGCGTCACCCTAAGGATGGTTGGGTCTCGATCGTGGCTGTGCTCAACCCGGACTCCGGGGAGGTCAGCTACTTTGAGGCAGTGGCTTTGCCTTTTGGTGCGGTGAGCGCGGTCACGGGCTTCAACAGGGCCGCCCGGGCTTTGAGGCGAATCCTCTCGATCCTCTTCAGTCTGGTGACT